CCTGGCCTGAAGCATACACCCATCCCACCTCTTCCTTTTCATTCAATTCTCAGCTTAACCCTCTCTCACTATTGAGACTGTACCACCAAATGAGTGCTATTAACTCCTCTATATGCCAAAAGAACTTTGTCCTTCTCTCAAACTAATTCTTTTTTTTTAATTGCCTGGCTTTACAACTAGTCTACAAGCTCTGTGAATTCAGATATCAAGTCTCATTTTATCTCCAGCACACTACCAGATAAATGGTAGATACTTGATAAGTATTTGTTGAATAAATTAAATGGTGCAATACTTGTATTTTTCTACCAGAAACGTTCCTTGCGACTAATATTAACATAACATAAACTGCTAAATTTTTGAAGGAAATGTATTGCCTTCTAAAGGTCACCTTCAACTGTTCTCTATTATGGCACACTTTGCCCCATCTCTTTCTTAGGACTGTTATAAATCATATAGCTGGATGAAATATAACCTCCTAAGTCACTGATTCTTTAAGTTTGCCAGTGTTCTTAGAGTCATAACTTTTCCATGATGGAGTGGGTTGCTGATGACAATTTACTATTTCCAGCTTGTTAAAAGAGGTGATTGATTTATTTTCTTAGTACCCTGAATCTTGAATCTCTCTTTTTCAGTTACTTCTCTTGTCCTCTTGGCTTCACTTCATACCTTGAAGTTCTTAACTTTCTTCCTTTTACTTCATGCCCATACACTCCTCTAGTTCTTCTGACTTTTTAGCAACTACCATTCTGCTGTCTTTGCTAGCCAGATCTTCTCCTGTACCTTTGCTATGAGCAGTTTCAAGGTTTAGCCTTTGTCCCTTTGCTCTTCTATTTTTATACCAGTTTAAAATATATACATATATATGAGATATATACACACATATATATGTTTTCATGGTAATGCTAACAACTTTGAAATTTCTTTTTTTTCCTCTCATTTGAAATTTAAATAAATAAATAAAGCTATTTCTTTTCTCATTTCCACTGTCTCTGAAACCTTTCCACTTGCAGGTCCCAGTTCAAATTCTACTTCAAATTCTACTTTTCACGAGTGAACAGTGTTGTCTACCCTATTTTCTGCTTCTTCAGTACAATTCCCTGTACCAGTTGGGTTATAATTGGCACTCTCATTTTCCTAGGCATCATGTAGGCTTGAAACTGGACTCATCTTTCTTCCTCTCCTCCGATAGCCAGTCTCTCTCCAGGGTTTTTCTCTTTTCCTGTTAATACTAAGTATCATATGATGTGTTCTTCCCTAGTGTATTCTGCATACTATCGTGTTCTTTCTCTTTCCCCAGGAGATCAACAAGGAAAAGTTAGGTACATTTACTTACCTGCATGTACCCATCATACTTTGTGCACACTCCTTTTTTTGTATGTTTTATACTGCATTATAATGTGAGACTACAGGCAAGTGAAGCCCAAATGTAAGCTCCTTGAGAGCAGCAAGAAGAGTTTGAAAAATTCCTTTTATGGTAGAAATATTGCTGGAATTAATTTATGCCACCCCAAGGAGATAGTGCCTAATTTTTTTCCATATAGAAAATGTAGATTCCGTACTTCATTGGGATGCTTTAAGGATTAAGTAAATTAATATTTGAAAAAGCATGTATATGTCGGTGTTTAATTAGTGACAGTAGAAGAAAAACTAGTTTTAATGTTTTTTATACTCAAGCTTCATATCTTCTCAGATAGTTTCCTGATTGCTTCATGTTTGTTAATTTTGCTTTCCCAAGTATGTTTTATTAAAGCTATTTATTTAAATTTATTCTCTATTCCACAATTCATAATGTTATCTTTTATTATATAATATAAAAATAAATATAAAAATCACAAAATAAAATACATTGTCTGAAATCCACTAGCACTTATGCAGAGATTGTTTAATGGTGAAACAATTAGCATATGTCATTTTAACACTTTGTGATTTGTTTTATGTCCAAATTGCCATATTGGTGATAGTAAAAAATATGGACTTGTATGGGATCATAGCATGTTATAGAGTGAAAAGTTAACATGTCAATGGGAAAAAAGAAGCCCAAGGAGTAGTCAAAGAAGTGCAAAGTGGAATAAAGGACATGGTGTCAAAAGCAAAAGCTAAAGAACTAGAAAACAAGTGATGGAGTATCTCTAAAGGTATTCAGAATGTTAAGAAAACTGAGTCCATTGGAATTGACATGGTAGAGATCCTTGGAAGAGTGTAAGTGCCAAACCAATCCATGTTTCTTAAAAGGTAAATAAAATGGTGGAATTTGAGATATAGATTTTCTATTTGAGAAACCAGACCATTAGCAGAAAAAAGAGAATGAAGTTAATGGGTTTAGTAAACGCCTTTTTAAGATATGGGGTACATCTGAGGGGATTATGATCACATAACAGACCAAATTCCAAGAATTTCTTAGAACTGTGCAGACCGTGCATGATGGGATAGCCATCTGGGGGTCTTTGTTGATAAACTGTTAAAAACGTTTCTAGTGTGAATAGCCACAAACATTTTCAGTGCTTTTTTGTTGGTTGAGTAAACCGAAGAGCACGAATGCAAAAGCAAAATTTGACGCCAAATCACAGAAGTTGCCATAAACACAGAAGTTCCCTAGTGAGGACACTGCCTGTGCCTGAATTTCATTTGTTTTTGCTACTACCATTTCTTAATTTTTCCTGGTGACTAGCCAGTTTAGAACTGTGAATGAAGACAAACTGGTCTTGCCCAGATGGTTAGATGAGATTCAGGTAACTTAGGTAGATGGAGAAAATATTTAGGGGCTTGATGTGCTGATCTGGAATATCTTAGAATGGAAGGATATGCTTACTCTTTTGTCATGGGGGTTTGCAACCTTAGTATATGCCTAAATCTACAGCTGCTCCTCATTTCCCAGATGGCATCTATGGCTGGGAGTACTTTTTACCATCTGCACTTCTCAAAGAGTTTGTGAACTCTCTTTTAATTATTGGGAATGAAAAAACTAATTGGTAAAGTGGTTAAATGATGTAAAAAATTTAAAATTTTGAGTGAAAGCTTTTTACACCTATTTAACCTTTGAAATAAGATCAGTGTTTTAAATGCTTTTGACCTTCATCTTTGTATATCTGCCATCTTTGATATTTGCAATACTTCAAAATAGTCCCTAATAACTACTTTGTATGTGGATTGGTATTTTGAGCCAAATTCCAAAATTCTTGTTTCCTTCCAATACATATTATAGTAAGTACTGTTGTTGGCATGTACATAGAACTACTAACACTGGATGGGTGTGGAGTACGATTAGATGAATTGTTCCACCCATCTAATATGCTTAAGTCAATAAAGTATAGTGTCACAATTTGTAAAAGTAATTTAGAAAAACAAACTAATGTGTTGTCAGTGTTTCCATTTATGTAAAACGTCAAATAGTGGGAGAAGCAATTTCCCAGTTAGGAAATACTTTTATAACTAGCTGAGAATAATAGAGTGACATCTGACTCTGAAAATGAACATATTCTCTGTCTAGGGAATTCTAGATTTGGCATGTTATTAACTTTTACTTTTTCTTCTTTCAGGTTTATGAGTCATAAATGCATTTTCTAATAATGTGTTATAAATACATATCCTCTAATAATCAGTAGATACAATATTTATTCACCATCTTTTCTCTTTAGGCAGGTTCTACTGGGGAAAATTCTCTAGATAGTTTGTCCATTTATAAAATTAGACACTTGCCATCTTTGCTCATTTTCAAGTTCTCTGTTTACAAAACTATTAAGAAGGTGTGAAATGCAGCCAAACTTCCAGTTTATGGGAAATGTCTGATGATTGCATTTTCTACATGTTCATTGTTCACACATGAAGAAATTTGGCAGCTGTGAGATTATTAAGTTTAGAGTATCCAAATCTACCCCTCACTGGGATTTTGGTTTCCTGCTTTCTGCCACTACGGTATCACCCCCTTTTATGACCATCTTTGTGGTAAATGTTCTTGTGGCATTTCTTAAGGTTAGTGATCTTTAAATTTCTTGTTTTTCCATTTATCAGATGCTATGAATGAATCGTAGACCAACAGTTCACCTGATTTAGAATCCTATCATCTGGCCATGACATACCCAAATTGCTAAGAAGGTTCCTTACACTTAGAATTCTCAGTTAAGAGGTTTTGTGTTGGTGCCATTACTGGGAGAGAAGGACAGTGGTGGTAGTTAATGTGAATGCTGTAATTATTCCAGAATTCCTCTTATATATGATCGCACATATATAAGAGTTTGTAGCTAAATCTGAAAGTAGTAGAAAGTGGTTTGCATGTGTTTGGGTTGCTTAATTTTGATTTGATTTGGTTTTTAATTCAGGTGATTTTTTTTTGATGTTGAAAACTTCAAATGACTCTGTTTCTTCATGGTTACTAAAGATTCCTCATGTGAAGTATTGAGAGCTTTTTTTCTGGACACATGTATTACTTTTAGAAATTTAAAAATGTGACATTATTAAGAATGAAAACCCTGTGATTTGTTAAGTGGATCAAATCAGCACCTCCTTTGATCTTAAGTACCACTAACAGTTAAATAGGTACTGGATATGACAGGCTATATTGACAAGAAAAAAGGAGATAAAGAAATGGGAAGTTTGGGGATAAGTACTGTGAAGGCAGAATTGGAAAAGGAGTTTTCCAGAAGAAAACTAGTTAGTACCACAGTGCTATAATTGCTCCCTCAAGTACTTTTATCCCCTCATCTCTCAAAGAATGCAATAATGGTTTCCAAACAGTTAACAGTACCATTTAGTGATCCAGTTTGAATTTGTCAGTACCTTTTACATATTTCTTAAATCTTGTTTTCAAAATGATGGTGATAATAGTTTTCATTATCATGAAGTTTATTCTGCAGATTAGCAAAATTGCTTTTTTGTTCGACAAATTCTTTGCATAAAAGGTTCTGTGAATGAAAGTTATGATCATCATTATCTTTGGTGATTATTCTGCAGTGGAAAAAGTGAATTTGGAATTTGAAACTCTGTCCTTTGTGTTTCATTCACAGGCTGTAGAAGAGGAAGATAAGATGACACCTGAACAGCTGGCAATAAAGAATGTTGGCAAGCAGGTGAGATGTACTGTAATAGGTTATGTAGTCGCATAATATCATGTTCTTATAGAATTAAAACTATTTTAGGGCCCATATGATTTTTTTTCCTGTATTCACTCTACATTTTTCTTGTCATGCAAATGCGATACTAATTTTAAAGGTCACTGGATTTATTTGATGTTAAATTCTCTTTGCTGTCTGTAGAGAAGTAAATCACAAATCCATACCTATGAGATAATTACTATCCTTAGTGAAAATAATTTACTAGAAATAAACTAGGACACTTGTGTCCTGAATTAATTTTTCAAGTATTATTTTTACTATAGACTAGGTAAGATAACAGAATGGTAGATTTATTTCTTGTATATAACAGTTTTTTAAATGATATATTTTATTAATATGAGGTAATGTTCCTGAGAAAGCTTAGAGTCTTAGTGATATAAGATATACTGAGTGAAGAGAAAGGGTTTTAAGTATTTGCTCTTTCACTTTTCTAAGATGAAATATATATTTTAGTCTCTATTATCTGAGGGTGGTGGAGCATACCAACCAATTAAAGGAATCTACAGATTAATTAGACTGTTTTTAAAGAATGTTGATTACATTTTTTTTTTTTTCATTTCATGGAACATGGTTATCATATTGCTGATGTTGGCAGAATCTTGATATTTCAGATGCAAGACACTAAGCTGTCTTTGCTTTCAGCCATCCTACCATATGCTCTGATCCCATCACATCTCACAAGCTATGTAGGTTTGGGCCAGGACCATTCTTGGATGGGAAATCTCTAAGAATCACCCAGCTGCCACAAGAAGTAATGTAGATAACTGAGGGAAGCATGTTATCAATTCACTATAAAACCAGTTACTCCAACAGAGTGGTAGGGGCAAAGGTCTGACTTTATCATATATCATAAATAAGGAAATCAAATCTCATTGTGTTCTGAATATTATAATTTAAAAACAAGTACCCCCAAAAAACAAAATAAAATATAGTTCATCTTATTTTCTCATCTTATGTCATATCACCCTTGTTATCTTTTCCCACTACTTAATTTTAATCTAATATATGATACTAGATCACTAACTCAGAGCCTTATATTTTATAGAGTTAAGTAACTATTTTTTGAATTAATGACTTTCTGAGGTTTCTGAGTTTCTTGATGTAGATTTTATTTAACAGCAGCAAATAAAAGGACTAAATTAAAATAAAAGTAAAACTGAAAAATATATAATTGGCAAAGTTTAATCATCAGAATCATTTTTTAAAATATAGTACGTACCTCACTGGTTTGGTCTACTGCATGGCAAAAGCAAAACTGTCTGTAATGGAATCAAAACTAATATCTTGTTTTCTTGCCAGTCTTTCTTAGTCTCTTTCACCTAAAATGCCCTAACGCTTATTTCTGAAATAAAGAATAATATTGTCCTACAGTCACTTGAAATTATTTGTACCGTATTATATTCCTGTGTTGTTTAATGAAATCAGCGTATTGAAATTATGGGTTAGAAAAGCACAGCCAAGAAATAATTCCAATGATGAACATTTACTTAAAGTTAAGGGTTTGGGGTATTTTAACAATAGCCATAAGAAAATAATGCTTTAAAGTTTTTTATTGTGTATAATATTTATCCTTTATTTCAAAGCTTTCAAATTTAGCTGAAACAGCGAAACATAAATTTAAACTAAGCATTTTAACTTAAATACCTTTATTATAATGCAATTTAAGCCACATTTTTTAACTCAATCTATTTCAAAAATAGATTTGATCAAGTTTAAGGATTACACCTATATAATTTTTTATGATACATTTTCAGAATAGCTACATGAAACATTCTTAACATTTTAGAATTGATCCAAATTGTACTTAAATTCTTAAACTACAGTGACTTTTGATTCAAGAATATTTTTTGAATCATTTAAAGCACTACTTTTGAAATATTAAAATTATACTGAATTCTGATTTTTACCAAGACATAAAGGAAATGATGAGAATTCACATTGAACTCTTACTTATTGGTATGCCTGCTTTGAATTAAGCACTCCCTCAGACATTAAAAATATGTGAATGGCAGAGAATACACACATATATTCAGGCACATATACACAAATGCACATTTTTTAAAAATCAGATGATTGCAAGCTGTATAGAATTCCTTTTTACTCTTTATAAAAATTTCTGGTACAGAATCATAGCATAGCATTGACTGTGTAAATCAATCTTTCATTGTGTAATCTATTATTTTATTAGCTAGTTAACTTTTTAACAGATTTAGAAATCGTAAAAATGCAATAGTATATTAGGAGGAAAGTTAAATTGTAAAATGTATATAAATTAGGTCTGGTTTTCTTTACCAATTTCATCGGCAACTGAAAAATCTAAGTTATTTATCTACCAATAATATGGTTCTTTTTTCATTTCTTTCCTTATTTTTTTTTCTCTTAGGACCCCAAACGTCACTTGGAGGAACATGTGGATGTACTTATGACTTCAAACATTGTCCAGTGTTTAGCAGCTATGTTGGATACTGTCGTATTTAAATAAAGCAACGCAAAAAGCTATTAGTGATACTTTCAGTGTATATTCCTCTGTTGTTCCTAATGCTCAAAATCAAGGGACCTCTGAAGGTGTATTTGGTTAAATGTAAGACATCTGGCATCATTTGCAGCACTGTAACACCTTCAGTCTCAGTTGTGCAATTATTTCTGTTTCTTTAGTCAGGGTCTTTGCAGATTCCAAAGTTGTACAAGAATACATCAAAGTGGACAAATTTTGTTAAGATCCCATTTAATATTTGAAAAAATCAGTAGCACAAATATATTTTGATTGTTGCTTACAAAATAAAATACATTTACAATCTATGTCTCCTGAGGTCTTTTTGGCACTGGGTGGAATTGACAATAACATTTACAGTGCTCTAGAAATCTCACACAAAGATATGTTTCCCTTTGCATTTTAAGGTCTTATAACACATAAAACATCAGTGTGATAATAAAACTTCACAAATGCAAAATGATTGCCGTTAATGAATGGCTACCTAATTAGTGAGTAACCCAGAAAAAATGTTGACAAAGTTTATTAAAAGCATTTGTCACAAGCTAATATGGCATACTCAGTATCTTCTTAACATACTTTCAGAATTTCAGAGGAATACATCTAAGAAAAAGGGGACAATTTTAATTTAGACTTTATCATGTTTTAAAAGAATACATTCCACCAACAGTTTTGAGACTGTCTAGGAGTTGGCTGCTTCACACTTTCATCTAAGATAGCCATAGAAAGTATATAATGTCTTAAAGGCAAAATGAGAAAAGTCATAATGTGAGTTTAATAACATGAGTTTATAAGCAATGATTTTGTTACTGTTTGCTCTCATCTGCCCTAAATTATTTTAAAAGTACCCAGTTTCAGATAGAAAAAATAAATTTGGCTAATGACAGTTTTTGTAGATGACTTCAGCCCCCAATGTACAAAAGTAACTGCCCGTTAATACTCGTGGTTCACCATAGTACTGGCTACACCAAAGGGTATGGCCGAAGGTACAGATTCAGACAAAGATTTAATTCTCTAGTCTGCACCCTACCTTGTGAAACTATAGTGAGAATATTACTACGGTTTTATTAAAGGAAGGTTTTACTTAGGGACTTAGGATTTAGACTGAACCTAATAGAAGTCTTATGAGTGCTACAGTATACCACATTACTGTCCTACTTGAGCAGCTGTAGGTTCTTATTGGTGACCTAATGAAGTTACCAGAAACTGAAAGTAGAAATGGCTTAAATTCCCAGTATATTTCAGTGTCTTTTTGGTGGAATAAGATATTCTGAGCATTTCTTGCTCGTTCTATGATTTATTCTTTTAGATACAGTGATAATATATTTTATGTAGGACATGTAATATTTATTAATTTGACTTGTGATTACATCTAACCATTTAGAATTAAAATATAAGTGGAAGTTAGTGGAAGTTATTTAGCTTGATTCAAACTGGTGTGCTGGCTTTTTGGATATGAGTTTTTCCTTTATAAAGTTGTGTGTTTTCACAGATATTTTTGACTAGAGTTAGTCAAGATTTTTTGGTGCAGTATGCCCTCAGAAAAAGGCCTTAATATTTCAAGGGCTACTCTCAATATTCAGATTGAAAGTTTTGGTTTTGTTTTTCACATAGTCTCTTGAAAGTATTCTGAGTGACTACTGTGACTGAGAAGGCTTTTAAACAGTACCTGTCTTTTGCCCTTATTTGATCACCTCATCTTTCTAGACTCCCCATAGGCATATACCACTTTCTCCCACTTGGTTTATGTTGGAGACATTTCCAATTTCAGAACCTTGTCAAAATCTTCCCTAGCAAAAACCTACATTTGCTTTGTAGATTTGGAATCGATCGAAATTAGGATGCCCTCAGAGGAGAGGCTCACTTTTGTCTTGGAATGTGCAGCCCTTTTAGCAGCAGCCTGATACCCCAGGCCCAGTTAGTTAGGCATTGAAAAGATGTGTTTAATCACAAACTTAAGCTGTTTAAGATTGTGTGCGTGTGCTTGTGTGAGCACACGCATGTATGCACGCACGGGCATGCTTATGTGAGCATCTTACTCATCCACTATGCAGAGGTAAAGCAGCTCTGGAAACAAAACTCCCGATTGCAGAAATGTCCCTGCTTTCCTCTGACTAGTAGGGGGGCACTTAAAGCTCCAGCCTCACTATTCAAAGTGTGATCTGCCTGGACCAATAGCATCTGGGTCTTAGGAAAGCTTATTAAATATACAGAATCCAAGCCCCACCCCAGACCTACTGAATCACAATCAAGAATCCTAACGTGGTTCACAGGCAGTTTAAGGTTTGAGAATCTCTGGTCTTTTAGAAGTATGGTTCACAGGCAGGTATGGTGATCCTGAGGAAAGCCTTTGTTTTCCTTCTCATGTAAATTCAAGGTATAGTCTACATGGGGGGAAATCACTGACTTTAGTACTGATAATGTAAAGTGGGTCAGAGTACACATTTATCTCCTAATTTAATTCCTTAAAAACCATTGAGGAAAGTGCACTCTATCCCTTTTCTATCCTTTAACACCTTAATATTTCATTTTAGCTTTTCCCATTGTTTAAAAAGCCAGTTCAGAGTGGCAATGGCAAATCCCCAAAAAGAGCCCAGGTGAAGTCTCACCTTCTCCCTACACACTTAAGGCTCTGTGTCCTACTGAGGACAGAGGAAGGTGCCCGTTGGAAGCAGCTGGGGGAGATAGACTCAGGAACAGAGAAGTTAATACTGGAAGAAGAGAACACGAAAGTGGCCAAAATAGGTCAAAAAGCCTCTCGATGATGACAAATGGCGGTAAAAGGTCAGGGGCAGAAAAACAATTGTCAGGTTGGTGTCAGCTACTCTTCCCTCCCCCGCACTCCAACGCCTCAACAGCTAAGAAGCTTTCTGGCCAGGAGCTTAGGTTTGCTTTCGAAAGGAAAAATGGGTTTGGCTTTATTTTTCTCCCAGAAAATTGTCTCGGCTTGAGTTTGGGACAGCTGGTCATCAGCCTGTCCTGCCCAGGCCTTCCACGCCGGCCTTGCTCGCGGCGCCCTGCTGGAGGCCGCAGCTGGTGCCCTCGGCAGCCAAGGCGCCCAGCCGGCCTCGAGGGGCTCAGTCCCGGCGGGGCGCTGACCTCGGCGCTCCGTGGCGCCGCTCTGCAAGTGTGCCGCAGAGGCGAAGCTGCGAGTCTGGGTAACCCCTCTCCGCCCATGCCCGGGACCCTCACCCCCCACCCCGCCCCGCCAGGTCCCCAGCGCCAACCTCCCCCGGGTTGCTGCCCCGGCCCAGGAAAGGCAGGCGCGCTCGCACGACAGCAGAGGCTCCAACGCACCCAAGGGCCCAGGTGTGCGCCTCTGGGGTCTGCGCCGGACTCAGTCTCCCCAGTGGAGCCCGCCTGCCCGTCGGCCAGCTCGCGGGGCCGAGCGGAGCTCTGGCGCTGCGCTCCTCCTCCTCCTCGTCCCCGCGCGGCTCGGCTTCCTGGGGGAAAGCAGCGGGAGGGCAGGTTGGCAAGTGCGGGGCTGCGGGAGGCAGTTTTGGGCAGATAAAGCCTCTGCCGCTCTTGCTTCTAGGCCAAGGACTGGGCTTCTCTGTTGAGCCGGTACTGGGAGATACCTTTTCCCTACACCTCAGAGTCCTTTAGGCCTCCTGCTATTTATGTGTGCCAACATCTTTTAAATTGATTCTTTTCTCTATTCCTCCTTAAATTCTTCCTCCTTTCAAAATTACTGGCATGGATTCTTTTTCTCCCCTCCAGATTATATAAACATCAAACACACACACACACACACACATACACACACGCACACACACACACACACAGTCTTCAGCAGCGATTACTGTGTTGACACCACTTCCACTCTGTCTCCCCAGATCAGCGCTTCTGGCGAACCCATTTGCACGGGGACTCGGCCCTCTCTTTTCCTGGCGAGGCTTTTGAACTTGTCGCCAAGCCAGTACCTCCGAGAGAAGGAAGTGCAGTGGGAGGCGAAGGACGCATGATGCCTGCCCCCAGTTAGATGCTCTTCAGATAATCTGCAACCAAGTTCGCTGATAAAATATTTAGTAAAGACCCGGTAAACATCACTGCAAATACATTAAAGCACTTCAGCCCGACAGCTTATGATTATTTCAAAACTTAAAAAGGAGATCATAGATTGTCACTGTTTCTGTGCTCACCCAAGAAACCGAACCTTCCCGAGGTGGGTGGATTGGTGGGTGAGTTGCTGCCTTTCGCCCCCTTTTCTCTCCCCCCCCCCATGCTTATCGCTGTGGCTCTCGGCAGCAGTGATTTATTTATTTATGTAGGTAGTTAAAAAGGTGGGGGGGGGGGCGCCAGGGACAGGCAGGACCTGCTCACAAAGCACCGGCTCAGGTGTTGTGTGCTTCTGTATTAACTGGAAAAGACAGACTCTGGAACTTTTACAGGGCGAGAAGAGGCCACCGGCTCTCGCTTTGTATACTTTGCACTTGAAATCGTTACATTCAACTGAATATTTGGCTCATTCAGATCCGAAAAGTCTCCTAGCATCGTTGAATTCCCTCCTCCGCCCCTCCGCTCTAAAGAGGGGAAGGGGAGGGGAAGGTAGGAAATGTTTAGTAAATTGCACATCTTTGAATCTTCCTAAAGCAGTGGTCACAAAGCTTAAAGGTGACACAACAGTGCTCACGTAAACCAACACACATTCCCCACCCCCAAGCCAACAATAAAATCATCCCCTTCAATTTGCCATGATCGTCGCGACCAGGAGCCAGGTGATTATCCTAATTAATGTCTATCTAATTAAATTACTGTCAGCAGTTAACCAATGGCAGGAGCCGTTTCATCGGCTGCACAAGCAGCAAGATCAAAAGTGAGCCTTTTCTGATTGCTGCATAGTGTCAATTGGCCAATCTCTTCTCCCAGGGAAAAAAAAAAAGTAAATCAAACCTTTGAGAAGCATTTGCTGGTTGAAGTGCTTTCTGTCTAGTGAGGGGGTCTGTGGATTTCTAGTTTATGATAAATAGGACTTTAAAAACCAGGGACGGGAGGGCGAGTGTTCAGGTTCTAGAGCTATGCAGCTGGAGCACTGCCTTTCTCCTTCTATCATGCTCTCCAAGAAATTTCTCAATGTGAGCAGCAGCTACCCACATTCAGGCGGATCCGAGCTTGTCTTGCACGATCATCCCATTATCTCGACCACTGACAACCTGGAGAGAAGTTCACCTTTGAAAAAAATTACCAGGGGGATGACGAATCAGTCAGATACAGACAATTTTCCTGACTCCAAGGACTCACCAGGGGACGTCCAGAGAAGTAAACTCTCTCCTGTCTTGGACGGGGTCTCTGAGCTTCGTCACAGTTT